AGGACATGGAAGCAACCTAAGTGTCCATCATCAGATGAATGGATAAAGAAGATGTGGCACATATATACAATGGAATATTACTCAGCCATAAAAAGAAACGAAATTGAGATATTTGTAGTGAGGTGGATGCACCTAGAATCTGTCATACAGAGTGAAGTAAGTCAGAAAGAGAAAGACAAATACCGTATGCTAACATGTATATATGGAATTTAAGAAAAAAAAGTGTCATGAAGAACCTATGGGTAAGACAGGAATAAAGACACAGACCTAATAGAGAATGGACTTGAGGATATGGGGAAGGGGAAGGGTAAGCTGTGACAAAGCGAGAGAGAGGCATGGACATATATACACTACCAAATGTAAGGTAGATAGCTAGTAGGAAGCAGCTGCATAGCACAGGGAGATCAGCTCTGTGCTTTGTGACCACCTAGAGGGGTGGGATAGGGAGGGTGGGATAGGGAGGGTGGGAGGGAGGGAGATGCAAGAGGGAAAAGATATGGCAACATATGTATATGTATAACTGATTCACTTTGTTATAAAGCAGAAACTAACACACCATTGTAAAGCAATTATACTCTAATAAAGATGTAAAAAAAAAGATCATATAAAGATTTTCTTCCATGGTAAGACTTTTATATTGTATTTTTCTTAAAATGGAGTGTGGTACATTTACCCTCATCAGATGATTGCTTACTCACCTTGCTTTATTAAGAATACCGCTAGAGGCTTCTATGCCCCTAGTAATAAAAATGCATTTTCAGGCCCATTCAAACCAATGAAAATCCACGTTTTCAGAGCACAAGATAATGAAAATTCTCTCCATCAGTGTCTTTTACTACTTTTAATCTGTTAACACATCCTAAGTGTCTCAGATGAAAGGTACTGTAGCGGGAATTGCCATCGCTAACAGCATTCCATACAGGTAACTCTTGATTGTTCTAATTTCTCAAAAATTTGGACACTTTTACTGCCTCTATAACATCTCTAGGGTGTGTGAAAGAATAAAAGAAGCCTGTACAATTTATTTCTCAAAATATACACAGAAATATTTTGCACATACAAACAGGGAAACCTTACAAATAATGTATGGGGAGCAATGTAATGTCAATAACAGAACTACTCATTTCGAAAGACAACACTGTCACCAAGTGACCCCTCACCAAAACTGACAGGGAATTTTTAGGGGCCGCCAAACCAGAGGTGGAGATTTATAGGAACCTGGGATGTTTGAAAAATGGTTTTGGACGACCTCCTTGAGGAAGGCACCAAGCGTCATCCCAAATTGCAAAAATGGCTCCAGGTTGACTCCTTGTGTCCTCACTCTTTGTAGTGTAACATTCCAACTTCTCCCATCAAGAGGCAGAGTTGATTTCCCCACCCTTGAAGTTAGGTGACTTGCCATGGCCAATAGAAGGCAGCAGAAACGATGGTGTGCCAGCTCAGAGCTAGGTCCCACGATGCTTCTACTCTCCCTCTCGGAGCCCTGCTACCCCCATGAGCACAAGCCCCAGTTACTAGCTGGGGCATAAGAGGCAAGTGGCCCAGTCAGGCCCCCGGCCCGGCTACAGCCAGCCCCCAGCTGACCCCACAGGTGTAGCAGCAATTCCAGCCATGATAAGCAGGGTTTTGAGGAAGAATTAAGAGCATAAGCGTATGCTATAATTTATAAACCACTCTGTCAACCTATGACATTATTTTTCAAAGGCATTTTTGTTATTTTGAATCCCTGGGTGGACATATTGAAAACAGCACTCCAGTGATTGTTGGAGAGCAAAGGATGCAACCTGAAATTGAGAGTAAAATATATTAGTTTAGCCAGATTCACATATTTGTATAAATTACTAGAAAATCATCTGAAGAAAAACAGACATGAACGAAAAAAACAGTCCAAAGAACACGGGTGAAGAAACATGTCAATTTAACACTAACTAGTACATCAAAGATGTAATAGAAAGTATATGTTTGGTTCTCTGTATAATGTTGTATAATTTTCATCACAAAAGCATTATTTGATTTGTACATACTTGGAAGAAAACAAAGCATTAAGATTATCTGCTGGTGTGAAAACTGGCCCCTATACACAGAGGGCAACGAGAGACTGAAGGAAGAGGCAGCCCACTCTAGACTAGTTAGTGGCAGTTTTAACAAGAAAGGGAACCTGCTTACAAGGTTTGCCTTGGTCAGCTGAGAGACGAATAGATCTCAGCACCCACCCCCCAGAATCTTGAGTTTACACAGAGACCTTAACAGGGTTCAGTCACATATACTGTCCACATGGTCTCAATAACACATTACTCTCTCAAGGCTGAGTTCTTGAAAATGGTTTCCACTGTGGGAATGGTGGGCAGAATGCACATTCCAAGGTCAGGGGAGGGGGTGAGGAGTCTCTGATTGCCCGGGTCCAGCTCTCAGGTCAACTGGTGGTCATGCCCTCTCAATGGCCTCCTCTGACATTTCAGCAAGGAAGGATGCCAGAAAAGATAGCCTAGGGCAGAAACCACTCAACTTGTTATCATGAATGCCAGAGCAACCCAAGCAAGTGGATATACAAGCCTACGTAGGGACTGGAAGCCGGAAGCATTTGGGGACTACACCTGGGCTGGTACTGACCTCCCTCCCAAAGGGACAAGGAGAGCAGAAACCTGGATGGAGTCAAGAGAGAGAACAAAGAAAGGCAAGGCTGGATATGGAGCAACGTGTGGATCCAGGAGCATGTGTCTCAGAACTGCAGGGGCTCTGCAGACCAGCTGCATCCCCGTCCTCCTTGATCCTCACTGGTATAATTAACTCAGGGTGGGCTCATTCCGGCTGCCAAGTCACTTCCACCTGTCCATGGAGTTGACAGTTAACTTGCTCACCGTGAACCAACCTCCCTGGACCTAACAGCTACTGCAGGAGGTGGTAGTGGAGAGCTAGGTGACGACAACGACCAGATGCGAAGGAGGAAGAGATGCTCAGCGGACCGACTGAGTGGATTGATGGTGTGGGGTTAAGTCTGCAGAGCTAAAGGGGCCAGATATAGAAAAGGAAAGGGGAAATATGAGGATATAGTCAAGCCCCATCGTATGGATATTTCATCCATATGTTGTATACAAATTCCATTAAATTTGCTCTGAATGAAAAAGAGAACAAAATTATCATTTAAACCATGTCAGTGACTTTATTTACCATCTCATTTGATGAGCTCATAGCCCAGGGTCAGAGTGAAATGGGAGCTGTGAGTCTGCCATCTCTCAGGCCTCAGAGGCCCCTCACAGCCAAACTACCTCACCTTTTGCACTTTTCAAGCAACATTATTCCTAAGTGTGAGTCACCCTGTTCATCGGATTCTCCAAGAAACAGCAATCTCTCCCAATGAGAGAGGAAAAATGGGCTAATTCGGCTTTTTTTTTTGTTGTTGTACGCGGGCCTCTCACTGTTGTGGCCTCTCCCGTTGCGGAGCACAGGCTCCGGACGCGCAGGCTCAGCGGCCATGGCTCACGGGACCAGCCGCTCTGCGGCAT